ATGTCATATTTTAAATAGAAGGAGAGGGAGAGAGAGGGGAGAGAGAGAGAGAGAGTAAAGTATACAGTATAAAAATATAATTTTAGATATGCAGTACAAATTAATTTATTTTATTATAATTGTGAATCCATTTACTTAAAAATTATTTATATATTTTTCTGTAAAAACAGGCGTAAAACACTTTTTATATTTCATAAAATCTAATTATGCTGTTTTAAAAGTAAATAATTCTTTTATACTTCAATAACAGGCAATTAAAAATAAAAATTGTCAAAGTAATTCTCCTATATTGTTTCAGAGTATTTAATAAATAAACAAGTTGTTACTTTGCCGCATTTCAATATTCACATAAAAATTAAATATCATATACTATTCTGTTAAATCATACAATATTTTATTTTAAAATAAATTGGCAATTTTGTTTAAATTCATAATTTAACACTTGTTAAAATATATAAAAAATAACTAGTTACATAACAATTTGAGATAGTGATGTTATTCATTCGTTTTACTTTATAAGTTATGTTAATAAGGAATACTAGCTATTATCTGGTCGTCAGTTGGGTTTGCATCCATGCGATTCATAAGCATTCTATAATATCATCCCATTCTTCGTCAAAGTGCTCAGGCATTGCATTTGGGCGCCGCTTTAGCTATTGGTGTTCATAAGCATAATAATTAATTACTAATTTGATATTATATTAAGTATACAACTTACCAATTGGTTCGGCAAACACGGTCAGAGTGGTGGTGATGGACAATACGGCCACAATTAGCAATATTGTTGCCAAACCCATATTAGGCTGTTTTTTGTACTTTACTTTAACTTAAAGTGGTATTAAATGGTGAATATTTAATGCCAACTGGGATATAGCTATTTAATGATTAAGTGATATGCCCAGGTGGTTTGTGATAGACTTTGTAAAAAACTGAGAATCCATCTACCATCTCGTGTATATTATTATTTTTCTCAAAAATCATTAGTTTTGAAATTTGATTAAATTAAATACAGCGAAATAATTTATTAGTAAAATTAGTAAACTATTATTTATAATAGTTATACCTTTACAATGTAGACGTTTAATATTATTTTAAAAATCAATTGTAATTTTAATGTTTTTTAAAATAAATACATTAAGTACAATATAATCAAAATTATATATTTTTTTATTTAGGGATAGAAATTCTAGATAGAAATTCTATTAAAATTAGTGTTTTTACTAGATTTATTATTATTTATGAATTTTAAATATGCATTAAAAATTTATATTAACTATAATTTATAATATTTTAATTCCTAGTTTATTCATTCATTAATAAAAATTTTAGTTTTATATATTTACTATGAGAACAACACTTATAATTGATTTTTTTAACTGGACAGTTTAATCTGGACAGATGGTTAGTATACCTTACAAAGTATAAGGTATACTACTTACAGAAAATTAGAGGGAAATTTTTGTTACAATTAGTCCGTATATAAAATTCCCTATTGTCTATGTGAAACTTAAATTTTACATTGTTTGTTCTCCTCTTACTAGGTGATAAAACTGGGATACAGGGAAGAAATTAATCTACAGGGAAATTGTGCTAAAACTCCAGTGGATTGCATTATTCGCATTACTTGTTGTAAGGGTAGAGCATATTTGGGTTGTCTCGCAATTACTGCAACAACTATTTAAATAATACTATATATTTATACTATAATTTTTTAGTTTAATTAACTAATTTGTTTAGTTTGTAATTTAATTGTGATTTAGGGCTTTAATTTTTTTGTGATATGGTAATAAAACTATTATTATTGAACAGAATAGCATATGAATGCTATTGACTATGTAAAAATTTAATATAACATATTGTACAATAGAGTATTGTGATAATTCATAGAATATCTTATGTTAATGTAGATTTAAAATAGAAAATTTAACCCAGTATAATTAAATAGTTTTTAGCATAAAATACAATTGTAAACCTTACTTGAGTTTTATTATCTTATCTAATTAAACCATACATAATAAACTATATTTAGCATAACTAAAAACTTAATTCAATAGAAGCCAAATAATCACATTTCATCTATTAAGTTAAAATTTTAAAAATCAAGTTTTATTTTTATAATTTACAATAAATATTATGTTTCAATCTATTGGGTCATTTGATAAATAGGCGGCTTGAGCGCCTTCTAGTGTCGCTAGAATAACTAAAATGGTATCATTATTTAAGTTAACATTCTTAGGCACCAGAAACCAAGTTTCATAAAATTCGCATCAATAGTTAAGACACAGGAATATTTTATATGACACCCGTCAATATAATGTATTCATATTTCTCTCTCTCTCTCTCTCTGCAATCCGATTGTACATATCTATTGAGCAAACATTTCAGTTGTCAACATGTGTTATGATAAACAGCAAATAGTAATATACATATATTTTTTACAATCTATACAAATCTATGTGGAATATATCATTTACATAAAGCAAAAAGTTTTAGCTTTTAATATATGGTAAAACTATTTCGTTAGCTCTCTATTCCCATATCATATCGTCGTTTGAAATGTCATTCAATATGTGATGTGTTGTTGTGTTGTCGACGAGAACTGAGAGGATAGCGAGAGAGTAAGGGAAATATTTTTTGACTGACTGTTCAAAACCTGAGGCCTGAGTGGATGTGAGGGCTAACAGGCATACAGTCTATGCACAAACCAAACGGCAAAAATGCATTCACTTTTTTTATGAAACTTCTGTTCAGAAAATAAATTTAATTTTTAAAAATAAAATATGAAAACAAAAATTGTAATAAAGTTACCCTCAAATAAATGCACAAATTTTTATAATTGTTTAAGTAGAACATAAATATAATAACACAAATAACAAGCAAATATCTTTTGTAATAATTAAGTAATAGTATAAATAGTAATTTAATTAATAATTAACGATAATAATAATAATGCATACAATTATAGCACAATACTGTTTATATAATTTAGTCAATTAATCAACATAGAAAAAATAAGTAATTATAATGTGGAATAGTAATAATACCAATTGTATAACCAAGCACAAAACACGACAATTGATTTTTTTAAATTAAATATATAAATATCTTGTTATAAATGTATATAAATAAACTGGTAATCAGTGTAACGCATAGTAACCCTTATGGCGATAGTGGACAACACCAGCGGCCAGTATAGCGCCGCCGACTACTATCAGACCGTAGGCCACATACGGGGCCATCGATGACCGTTTGGACACATTCTTCTGCGGCTCAACTGTAGGCATCGATTCCGTCACCTCTGAACCCGTTGTGGTGGTTGTGGTCATTGTAGCCAATGTGGTGTTTGACTTATGATCGTCGGCTCTTAACGTACGGTAAGCGCTGACCGTATGGTTGGCATCGGGTTCGGGAGTGTCCGCCACTGTCTTAGCCATTGTCTGGTCTGTAGTGTTCGTAGGTTTAGTAATATCGGGTTTGTCTGTAGTTGTCGTAGGGTTAGCATCGGTAGAGGCCAGCGAATCGACAACCGTTGGGCCTGTAGTCGGGTTTGTATTAACCGCTTGGCCTGTAGTGGCGGTCGGGTTGGCGTCGATAGAGACTTTCATTATGTGCGCCGGATATACCTTAGGTTTAGTAGACCTCAAAACCACTGAGTCTATAACAATAGGGACTATCGGCTCAGTGCTGGTCATGGGATCGGTTGCGACAGTACTTTCTGAAGAAATATCAGTGGATGTGTTGTCGATGTCGGTGATGGTGGTGGGAGTGGTAGAGGTCTTATCGGTAGATATTATCTTAATTGGTGGCAGATTTTCGACCGGTTTGGTTATAGTGGTTGTATCTGTAGGACTAGTGGTAGATATGTCTTCAGTTACCCGTGCGGTGGATGTATTGTCGGCATTCATTGGCTCAGCACTGGTGGCAACCACTGGTGTTGTGTTGGCAGCGGTGGTGAGCGGGTCAGGTGTAGTGCTGCCAATCGCTGTCCAATCAGTAGGGGTCGGATCAGTAGGTATAGCATATGTGAGAAGCGTATTATCGATGGTTGCGGTGGAAGTGGTATCGACATCGTTGGTTATATCAGCGATAGTCTGTATTGTTGTCTCAAAAGTAGTGTCCGTACGATTAGTACCGGCGCTAACGTCCATCACTATCGGTGCCGTTTGGTTAGCGATTGTCTCATTACCAGCGGTGGTCACATTGTCACTGATTGTTGGTGCAGTTGTTGGCGGTGGCGCTGGTGTTGGCGCAAACGAGCCGGTAGTGGCCCAGACTGTGGCCACCGTAACGTTGGCACCTGTAGGCTGACCAGTAGTGTCACGGAAAAAATGGTCCGGATCATCAACATTACGTCTGTGATGATCGTATGTTTGCAGTGACTCCACAACGTCCGAATGTTGGGCCATCTGATCCCTATCCCAGGCCATTATCGCCGGTGGCATTTCGGGCATATCCTGCGGGCACTGGTGGCTATCAAACAGTGACAGGGGATATACGCGTTGACCACCGGTGCTCAGCATAGATTGGGGGTCAATGGGTCGGGAGTCCCGGCGCACAATGTGCCAAATGTGGTACCAGTCATATGTGTACAACAAGTTACCTATAAAACGTGTGAGACAACAGGGTATTTTTTGAGGGGTATAGTTAGAGGGGGTCTTACCGGCGAGAATATACAACGATAGGCACTGGTAGGTGGCGTAACACCTGCCGTGTTGGTCGTTGGTCAGCACAGCGCCGGCTACCGGCGCCCTAATGGCCGGGAAGTAGTCGTCCACATATTTTTTCTCGATGAGTAACGGCTGACCGCCGGCCCGACTCTCGGCCACCCATAGTATCTCATTCTGTTGGTAGGGATATAGTAGGTTAGCACCGGGTGTTTGGCCACCAGTAAATGTCTGTTTGTAGTATTGTATGAATATATACCTGAAATGTCAACATAAATCCATCCCTGATATCATATACGGTGTTTTGACATAGTTTGTGTCCACCAGTGTTGGCCGCAGGTATGGCCGCCGCACCCGCCAGTGATGTCATCCATAGGGTCGGCAATAGTGGCAATAGTAGGCACAGTAGCGGTAGACAAGGCATTGGTATTGCATTGATAACCATTGGTTGCGATGATGTTTGAGGTTATTTGAAATAAAGGTTTTTTGGTTATAAAAATCTAATATAATGACTGATTTATACATGTGTTTAACTATCTAATGATTAATCTCGTTGACTCTCCCTCTCTCTACCCTGTGTACTTTTCCAATATCACTTAATCACATGCTAAGCCTATGGATAAATCTAATCATACAGTGAATATAAATTACAAACATTGTTTTGTTTGTGAATAGTTAATTCATAAATACAAACCAAGTTCACAATAAGTACATTTGTACATTTCAACTTAATACCAAACACGTCTATCAAATTCATAATACTAAAACATAAAAACTCCACGACATTTGACATGCCGTGCGACAGTCAAACTCCCTGTCCTGTCAGTCAACCACCACTACCACTGCCACCCAGGCCTCAGACCCTCATGAAAATACAAATGTCATATACAAACGGGTGAAGTGATGTGTATATACAATGTCTGTCAAAAGGGTCGGCACCGATGGCTATTGTGTGGGCACTGGTATTGTGCGGACACACAACCATTGCTATGGCTATTGGTATAGCATATTGTGTGTAATGAAAAAGCATTGAATGTGAATACAAAACAATCCTATTATGTATTCAAATGACTATCAAATGTGTCTATGAATGAGCGTTTGGGAGAGTATGGGATGTGTGAGTGATTGGGAAGTTAAAGTGCGTTCACTTAATACTAATTGCAATTTTTGATGGATTTGTGTAAATTAATGCAGAGAGATGGTAGATGGATTCTCAGTTTTTTACAAAGTCTATCACAAACCACCTGGGCATATCACTTAATCATTAAATAGCTATATCCCAGTTGGCATTAAATATTCACCA